TTTACAATATTTGATCCAATTCTGAGTAGTAAAAATGTTGCCTAATACTGAATAGTTTCCCAATATTTGTATTTGTCTCTACTTTAAATGCATCAAATTATGTTTAGTCTTAGTTGTGATATATATATATATATATATATATATATATATATATATATATATATATATATATATATGTATATATATATATATATATATATATATATATATATATATATATATATATATATATATATATATATATATATATATATATATATATATATATATATATATATATATATATATATATATATATATATATTAGGGGTAGTCAAATAAAGTAAATTTTTAAATCTAAAAAACCGTACCTCTAAATTTGGGGCAAATACATAAAAAATGGCCTCAAAAAGTTTGAGTGCTATCAGATCACTTTTGACCAAAAATTTAGGAAAAAAATAACTGAAAACTGGTCATTTTTGGGTTTCTTGAGGGAGCAACCAACTTCATTATCCCCTCATACACGTGAGGGCAATGAACTTCTGCCAAAAAGTATAAACAGTAGTTGGCTGTGACCATTGGAATGTCAGTTACCTATATTAAAAAAACTGCTTTTTATTAAGCTGAAAAATTAAAATGAATAAGGGTAAGGAAAAAGATAAATATATATTTTAAATTTTATAGCAAAAAAAAAAAAAATTTGACAGTCTAATTAAGTTATCAAGTTTATTTCTTTATCTTTTTCTGTATCACACCAAGAGCATCATTAAATTTACTTTTTGAAATTGTACTGGATTTTTGTTTTGGCGATTTAAATACAAATCAAACTTTGTCTACTGTGAGCAATCTGTTCTGTTTTTCAGTTTCACCGGAATCCCTATGAATAGACTATGATGGGACATCATACCTATAGACTTTTCTAAATGGTCAATTACAAAAATCATAGTTTAAGCATATTTTTAAAAAATTTTGAAGCATGACTGAGTATGCTAAATAGTTTGGTGGAAGTGAGAGCCAGTCTTTAACTAGTTGCTTAACAAGCCCAATCATGTCAAAAATCAGGTAAGAAAAATTGTTAACTAAGACAGACAATGATGGTGGTTTTTTACCAATATTTGTATCCATTTTATAAATTTCCTTGATATCAACTTTTACTTTGTTCTCAGGTTTATAGTAGTCTGAGCTAGACATAACAAATGACAGAATTATTGATGCAATATTTGCCTTCCCCTTTAATGCTAACTCATCATCTAGTAAAGCTAGAGGTATCATGGTTGAATCCAAATACAAACAAATACTGAGGCATCAACAGCTATTGGTATTCTTGTACAGATACATTTGATGTATGGCCGTAAGATCAAGAAATTGAGCTTTAACGACATCCTCAGATTGTAGATACCATTTTGCATAAAAGCAAACAATAAATTCTGATACAAGCCTAATTTCAGTTTTCAGCTTATCATTTTCTTGAACAAATGCAAGTTGATTGGATAGAAGTTGAAGCTTTAGATAATAAATTGCTTTTTCTAAAAATCTTGCATGATGAATAGCACCAGATTTTCTTACTTTATATGTAACTAATTCTGCAAATTCACTTCTATCATCTCTTATAATACCTGGTTTACCAACATAAGCTCTGCAAAATATCAATGACGTATTAGCTGCCTTTTTTAAAAGAGAGCTTTTGACCTGTCTGCTGCTTTTAACTTGACTGGCTGCTTTTAACTTCTTAAAGATCAACACCTGATTGGGATAGAATTGCATTTGTTACCTTCTGTAAAACATTTGGTGATATATTACATATATCGCCAAATGTTTTACAGAAGTGATACCAATCACTTGGATTAAAATCAAATATGATTGACAAGTCCTCGCTTAGAATTTTGTCCATAAGTTCACTGTTGGGTATATCATCTACCAAACTTGTAGGCTGTGAACAATTTTTCTGCCTAATACTTTTGTTTGCCTAATTTACAGAAAAATTAAACCTTTAGTTTTTAATTTTAGAATTAGTAAAAAAAAAATTTAAAGGTTACATTTAGTTTAACCTCTAAAATTTTAATACATTAAAATTTTGGAGGTTAACCAGAGAACTATTTAACGCATTGACTGTTTTTTTGTACCTAATATCCTCTGAACCAAAAACAAACTTTTTTTCACCTTCTTTTCCCATAAATTTTAAATCTTCAATCTTGTCTTTTAGTGATCTTTTTTTATTTTTACTGATCATGTTTTTGAGATTAGAATTACCAGCCCAAAAAAGTTTTTTAAGTTCAACCTCAAACTCATTTTGTCTAGTCAAATCACCTATATTTCTTTTTATTCAAGTTGGAATAGGACTTATGCAAGTTAAAATTTTTTTAGCTAAACTTAAATCAGTTAATACATTAAAGCTAGCTCTAATCCAGGGTCTTTTTAGATTAGAAAAAATACATTCACAACATCAAGAACATCTTGAAAATCTTTTTTAAGGGGCCAACCAATAATATTTAATATTGGCGCAGGTTTAAACTGTTGATTA